GCTCTTACTACGGCACTATGTACACTGTGTCAACATGCAGAGAAATCTAAAGCTTGACAGGCCTGCTGCGCCAGATTTTGAGGGTTAAGCTATGATTGGCTGTTGTTGGAGACCTGGCAAACAGCCAATAACATTATTCCTTAATGCAGACCCAGCGTCCAGGGCCCTGGGTGGCCACGCTACCCATTATTTTTACCTCTGAAATCAAATGCCCTCATACAGATTAAGGTCCGCCGCTGGGTCGGTTTTAATTTGAAATACAGTATGCCTGGTAAAGCTCAAAGTGAAAATTCAGCTATGAGAGCTTTAAACATGGTGTGTATATATGTCGGGTATAAAGGCAGAGCATGAGAGATCATCCAAGTGACTTCGACAAAGGGAACGGAGATCTGAAAGTATATAATAGTTAGATTAATTATAACCTTACTTATAAAACTCTTGAAAAAAACACCTGCTTGCATAGCACTCACTATCGATAAACATGGTTCATGGTATAGATCAGACATGATCCAGTTGCATTTCGAGAGCAAGCTGCCCACTCAGCCCACTGGTATTGTTTGTTTATTTATTTTGAAATTAACTAGCAACGCCGTGCTGTCATATAGCAACTGCTAAGCTACTGCAGCAAACAAATCCTGGCGCCGCCCATGCCATGACAGCGATCCATGCACAGAAAGCGGGCTGTATTGTGGGTTGTGTTTGCAGGTGCAGCAGTTTTAAAAATACATATGTAAAACTTTTTTCTGTATTTGGATTTTATTTACATGTATATGAAACGGAACACATTTGTGTGTGCATTGAAAAACACAAGTGTGGATCCAGAAATACAAGTGTGAATCCTTTTGCGGATCATGAAATACAAGTGTGAATCCTTCTGTGTGCATGTGTGTATTATGAGACTGTTCTGAGCCCATAAATGTTCTACTGCAACCCTCCCCACACGCAAACACACAGTACACCCGCGACTGTTACAATGAAGGCTCGATAATCAGCTCACGACATATAGGCACTAGCAGGGGTAAAGTGCTATTTTTTATGACTTGGGGGTGGACCTAACCTCCTTTAGGGGGGTCCGGGGGGATGGTCCCCCGGGAAGATTTGTTTTTAAATAGTGAAGTTAAAAGCATCAATCTGGTGCACTTTGAGAGCAACATTAAGAGATCTATGGATACCTCTCTCAACACCCATATGAAACAGAACTGGAAACAGATTTTCTTTTTCTTTATGGATATTTTACAAATCACTCCCCTTTCAAACTGTATTCTTGTTTTACTGCCATAGTATTTCATAACTTGTTTTTCCTTTATTCTCTTGTTTTTTTAGAACTATAATGATCATATGAAGGTGTGCCGCGGAAATAATCTTTTGAATAATTTGTGACCAAACCGTTTGAGACGCACTGAGATAACTTATGCATTATCCATGCATACACAGCTCATACACAGACATGGCTACTATGACTGAGCAAACAGTAACACAGCACTTGTGTGGAGTTACATTTGTTTTACCAAAATGCAGTACGAGAAAAAAAACAAGAAATAACCAGCATAACATTTGTCTAAGAATCCTGAATAACGAGAGAGTCTTACCGGTGCTGTTCCCAAAACAAAGGAAGTGAAACAGAAACTAATTTACTGACTCACCTCGATGATGTTCAGCTCTTTTAAAGTCCACCCAGCAGAGACATATTCATGTTTTAAAGAAACCATCAAAGGTCATCACTCACCATCACATTAACAGTCACATTGCACAAAATAATCATAAAAACCCTGAATAACTCAAACGTGTTGCTAAAATAAGTGACCAGACATTTATTTGACTTAGTTTGCTTTAAATAAAGAAGCTTTGGTTTCAGAAAGACAAACAAACTTTATTATTCAGCCTGAAAGATTTAGAATAATGTTAATAATTTGTCTAATGTTTTATGGTATGGACATCTAAAAAGCAGAGTTATATTTCATACGGTCTCTGATCATCTTGCTCAGCACCAGGCCTGATGTCAATGCTGTTTTACACTTTCTGAATATATAGAGACTAATTCTGAGAAATATAGTTCTTATAAAGTTTTTTTTATTTCGATCGGTCCCCTCTCCAGTTGCCTGTCCTGCCACTTCAGACGATAAATATACATACTTCTACTTTTACTGAAGTACAAGATCTGAGTACTTCTACTTTTAATCAAGTACAAGATCTGAGTACTTCTACTTTTAATCAAGTACAAGATCTGAGTACTTCTACTTTTACGATTGTTGTTGACAACAGAGGCGGTATACGTGTGTGTTTTAATAAGGTTTTTACATAACCAACGTTATTATGTCCCACTGTAATTTGAGATGCATTTATTTTAATCGTTTATTTGAACAGGGACAATGCACATTAATGAACACTTTAAACAAATAATGCGCCAAGTGTAAATATGCCGGATTTTAGCTTTGAGTTTCCATCCGTAGTCCCTCACTAATACAACATATAAGAACAAGACATTTACAAACATTGCAAAAATAAATACATGATATGCCTATTGGTTACTGGTGGCNTAATAGGGAGGATCAACAAAAGGAAAAAGATTCCACCAATTTATATTATATACGATTATACTGAACCTGTAGCGCGATTTGTAATCATATATTTCATATAAAGGACACCTACAAGTATTCAAGAGACATTGTTTCCACCGTCCTAAACTCATGGATCGATCTAAATGATGCAAATGTGACTGCTTGGCCTCGAAACTGACATCACATCAAAAAATGTAATTAAACTTCAACTTGGAGAAGCACTCTTAATCATACATTGTATTGTAACTGAAAAGTCACCTAATCTACTTTATTTCGGTAAAAGCATCGCTGCCTTGGCAGAGACACCTGCTTTATTACAGTTAAACTAACTGTTCAAACTTATAATCGAGCTTATAAATGCTCTACGCCAAGTGTTATGTCACGTGGTTTCACATTATTTAAAGAGGACGATGTTAGTATACAACTAGTTGAAGATTAGACAATTATACCAGCCACACAATTCCTTTTATTATAGTGACTCATGACGCATGAGGAGCCTGGAGAGATACGTCATGATATACAAGGGTCAATGAAAACTTTACCCCAATGAGTCGGAAAAGAGAAGCCTTGTCTCGCCCCAATATCACAACGACCTGCTGGTGGAGCACACTGCGACTCAATCTCTCTTTCATCGCTGTGTCGTGTTTTCCGTTAATGCTCATCCCTGCCCTTTTTTACATCAAACACGCTTGCCAATACCTCCTTCTGGTCGGTCTGCGCAGTCTGATAAGGATCAAATATTGCCTTCTAACCCATGTGGTGTAAGTGTTTTTTATTGTTATTCCGATATTGCTCCTATATTAATGACAAATAATGGCAATGATGTTAATTTTAAAGCATAATAAATGTGTGCTTCCATTATCTGGTTCTTGGAGGACGTATCTTCGGTCTTTTGTGAATCTGAGATCAGATAAACGTGTTTTTTTGCGAGAGTTTAAAGAGGACTTATTCTGTTCATCGCTCAGGTTCCATACTTGATTTAGTTTTAAGTTCTGCTACTGTGATATGCTTATGCTTTAAAGTGTTCCAACACATTCAGGGCCCCACACAACGGTTGCCAGGTTGCCATGGCAACCATTCAGAACAAGATGTCAACCACTTTCTTGGCCTTTGGTTGCCATCAGTGGAAACCAGTTTTTAACATAAAGAAATAAGGACAAGCAAAAAGCAAAATGTGTTCCCAAAATTAGATGAATATTAATTATTTGTTGTATTAAGAGTGATATTTATTTCTGGTTGTGACCAGTCGGTAACCTGATAATTCAAGTTGCCACGTGCATTGGTGGTGGGATTACGGAGCCCAGAAAGCAATGCACGTTTACTCGCGTGGGGGCGGGTAGCGCCGCGTGTGTTTTTGTTTTACAAAAAAATTGTTAAGCAAAATTAAGTTGTTTGAACTGTGGGGTAAAAGTTCGGCCAACCCGTCAACCTCTAAAACAAATGTTCAAAGTGATTCAACTGATAAAGCCGCAAGCTGAACCCGAACGAAAAGCAAAGAGGAAATGTTTAAAGTCTTGCGGGAGGCGAAACATTCTGCTCCATTTTGAATCCTAGTCCGGCAAAATGTTCCACTTCAAAATAAAGTCCCGGATTTTATTACTACCAAAATAAAAGTGCAAGAACGAAACTAAAGTATATTGGCATCAAATATAATCCACTTCTATAAAAAGGTAACACATTTAAATCTAGTTAGACATATTAAAAAGGCATTAACGCATTCATCCAATTCATATCTAATGTCTTAACCTTTCCTATTTTATACATTTAAAAATGTGTTAAGTCCTGGCAATCCACAGACTTCAATGCTGAAGGGCCAGTGGTTCATGGTGGGGGTCAGCACCAAAGGTCAAGAAAACCCACATGTTCAAAAAGGACAACCAAGATGACCCAAGAAACAGTGACTTGCTCAGCGTTTCATTTGTGAGGGATCTGTGCAAGAACAGGACAACAGCTCACTACGGTATTTAGTATACAGCAATTGAGGGTGGACAAGCTTTCCTATCAACTTAAGTTTCAATAATTGTGTTAGTACGTTATTTGTAAAGCATTTGAAAGCATTCTTTTGTGCACAATGTTCATTAATTAAGTCTGATGTAACTGTATCATATCTTAATTATTTAAAATATAGAGGTGATCTAAAAATTGGCAACCGTACTTTTCCATTTTTGCGCAACCAAAAGCTGATGCCTGGTTGCCAGCCTGGAACCACTTTTAAAAGTTAGCGTTGAGCCCTGACATTGTACATGATAGGCCTAAGGGGCGGGACATGTACTAAGTGGTTTGAACCAGTCAACAACAGAGCTGGCCGTTAACCAATCAAGAGCAGACACGGGGCTCTGGTTTTTCAGACAGAGGGTGAAAAGAGGTGCTGCAGCGCCAGTGATGAGAACAATAAAGCATAATAGGCCTTTTAATTAATTACTGCTTTCCGCCACAGTTTGGACACGATACTCCTCTGTGATAAAAAACCGATGTGGCTGGACAATGTAGCCGGCAGACTCCAGAAAAAACTCTACCCAGAATGTCGGAGAGCTTGTGTCCGAATGTCCAGCTCATTTTCTCCAATTCGCTTCATACAACCAAGTAAGAACAGTGCGTCTTTCATAAGCTCCACAATGAACTGCGGGTTGGGAGTTTCATCATGTTCACATCTGGAACTAAATGGTTAAAAACAGTCAAATATCAAAGTAACAGATCATTTTTAAGGACATATTTTAGTGATAAGGTCTGTTGTGTTCTTTTTTGCAGGGCAATGCTGGATACCTTGCGATGGGAAACAGACTGAAGGAGTTGTTTGACAAGGAATTTAATAGTCAACATCTCTGAACAAACTGTTGGCTGACAGATTTCATTTTTAAGCTCAGTAGATACTGGGAAAATGTGTAAATAGCCCTGTTTATTCCAAACAGAAAAGCTGCTAATCAAGAGAAGGCAATGGAACTTTACTTGATTTAAGACACAACTTATCTAGTTTACCTAACGTACTTTTTAAATTACATTGAATTTCAAAGTGTAAACCTGTGGAAGGTACATCAAAAGATGTCTGATTTACAGGTCATAAACAGTACTTCCAGATAGGTTAGAAGTTGTAAAAGCCTTTTGAAATTGCCTTAAGTGATGTCACTTGAGTCAGCGTTGCCTCTTTGTATATAACAATCCGGGGGGGGGGGGATAGATTAATCATTTATGTAATAAGTGAGATGGCCAGACCTTTTGAGTCGGCTCCATATCTCTGCTTGTGTAATTTAACTAGTATATTCTCCAACCTTATGTTGCGTTTCAGTCAAAGGTCCAAAAGTTTTTCCGGTTAAAGTTTTCAACTTCCCAAGTGTTTCAGCTCCAGGATGCAAAGTGAGCATGTGCTGATCGTGGGGAGATGATGTTTCTCTGGCAAGAGCTCTGTAGCAATTTGACTGTTTTAACGTTTTCCAAATAACTTTTATACTGTCAAGATAACTTTCAAAGATTTTTTACTCTAACCAGCTACCTTGTTTCCTGCTCTGACATCCATTTACACTCAGGTTTTACTGTCCAATAGTATGAATATAATTACAAATAGGTAAATATATTATTAGATAATAGCAACACTGACTTTAAATGGTGTTTTATTTCCTTTTGTAGTAGTATAGACATGTTTGGACTTTTCAGTCTCATCCTGTGTAATTAATTCAACAGATTGTTCAAGGAAGACAAATGCGTGAACAAAGTCTTGAGTGTTATTGGACAGCTTTTTGCATAAAAAGGTTAAGTATGGTATCATTAGTATTTGTTTAATTGTTTTCTTAAGTTTTGACAGCTTTTCGTTAACCCAAGTTTTTACAATGGAGGTGTTTTATATGAATGTGTGATTTTATTCAAAGAAAATGTAACTCCCAACATTATTTTCAATGGCACTTTATTATAAAGAATAATCACGTTAGGATAAGAGTGTTTCATAAAGTATAAATTATGAATGTATGTTTTGTGAAAGTCAGAAATTGACTTTGTATTAGTCCAAAGCATTAGCATAAAAAATGATATTGCTTGTTTTGATAAACCTGCTTGTACTTCACCTGAGTATTTTCATTCAATGCTGCTTCATACTTCTACTCCACTACTTTTACACTACTACATTTATCTGACAGCCATAGGAACTAGTATATTTTGATGCCACTACTTTCGTACTTTACTTAAGTAAGATTTTGAATGCAGGACTATTGAGTATTATTAACCCTTTCACTGAGTACTTTATGCAGAATGAAAACAAAGAAGATTGACACTATTGTAGTAATAATAATATGAAAACTTGAAAAGCTTAAAAATGAATAGTTCATTTTAATTATAATGAAAAGGATGGAAATATGTCTTCTTTTAAAAAGTAATAACATGATGGAACCAAAGGATTTTCTTTCCTTCTATATTTACCCTTAGTCATTTGTTAGATAGAATCAGAATACCTTTATTAGTCCCACAGAGGGGATATTTACATGTTACAGCAGGTAAAGAGCCAACAATAGCTGAATATTACTAAAGAAGCATGCATAAAATATGAAAGATAAAAATGACACCATTTACTAAATACACATCCAGTACCAACATGTCTTTGTGCAGGCAATGTTTCAGAAGATTTGAAATGTCTACGTCCATACTGTTAAGGACACCTATGATAGAAAGTGTCCTGTTGAAGCTTTATTGCAGTGGTGTCAAACTCAAGGCTCACAGAAAAAATCCGGCCCACGACCTCGTTTTATGTGGCCCGCAAGAGCTTGCAAAGAATATAATATAAAATGGTGTAATTGTTGAATATTTGCTTTCAATTATTTGCCCTAGACCTCTGCTTTCAGACGTAGTTATTTATGAGGTTATTACCAGAACTGATGATGGTCCAATGCAAAGCCAATAATATAATATAATACATTATTTAATATATATTATATATTTACATATGTATATTTATATAGTCTTAAAGTTACAACCGGCCCTTTGAGTGCAACCATAATGCTAATGTGGCCCGCAATGAAATTGAGTTTGACACCTCTGCTTCCTGCGTGTGACGTCACAGTCACAGTTGCCAGCAGAGAGCTGCGCAGCCGCTCTGCCTCAGCAGGAGAGGACAGCGCAGCCATTTCTCTACCCCTCACGAAAAGAAACCTCCAGCGGGGGTTTGTGAGGGTCTTTCACCCAAATAACTTCCCCGACGTGCGGGAATCATGAAGTGAGCAGCACATACCGAGGCGCAGCTCGATCCCGGAGCTACAAACTTTCTCCCAAATGTAACGCCTGCGCAGGCGACACACACACGCTCGGTCTTTTTTCCCGTTGTTTTCTGTCAGAAATGGAGGGACATCTGCAAGGCGACTGCGGGGACATCGTGATCCTGCATGTGAAAACGGAAGCGGTGGATGAGAACACGTCTGCGCTGGTTCTGAGCAGCCGAGGCTCGCCTGCGCCTTGCGGAGATTCCGCATGCCGAGGCGGGGAGCAGACTGCCGAGGAGCCGGGAGAGAACACCGCTGCTCCGGGGCTGCTGTGTGAGTGCTGCTGGGCTTTCTCTTTTTAATGCACAATTTAGAAACAATAATTCAATACGTGGGGTTTCTGATTAAGAGGAGACACTACAGGTGGATGGTGTCCACATCTGAATATTTAATTCATTCTTGGGAGATATTGGGGTTCATGACGGATAGTTTATACTAACAATAAATATGTAAATGTGTATAAGAGCTAATATATAATTATAATAGCCTACTTATAATATATACTTTATAGATTTTTTTTTTTAATTATAGTATTAATGAAGATATTAATGCTGAAAACCACCTAAAAATATACAAAAGAAACTATGGATATTACTTACATGATTAATTACATCAAGACATATATTTATAAAAAATTGCTCAGTTGCCTACAATTCTTAAAAGCCATACACTTCCTTTGCAAATGCTAAATATAATACCAACTTTTGGTGAATCTAGTAAAAATCTACAATTCTTTTTAAATCTGTTATCATGATGATAATAATGTGCTTCTTATCTGTTTTCCTTTTAGACCCGGTGAGTACAGACCGCTTCTTCACCACATCGGGGGACGGAAAGACGTACCTGAAGATAGCTCCAGGTGAGAGCATCAGTGTGAGAGGATCACTCCCAGGGGCGCACCTTGCAAACAGGCAAGGCAGGCAACTGCTTGGGGCCACGGACCAGAAGGGGCCCCCCAAAGAAGGTATTAAGAAGGTCCACAGCAACGACAACTTGAAACACCCTTTAATTTACTGCAACGACATGTCGGGGAACACCCAAGTCTAATCAGCATGCACACACATGAATGAGACGATTCATTTGGTGTAAGAAATGTTAAACTCTGACATGACTTTAGTTTTGTTAACAAACCTTTTAGGAATGAAAGAATCATTTAAAGTAAATAACAACATGTAAATATTTCAACTGTATTTTATGTTAAAGACTTTCAAAACAGGGGTTCACATTTTTTAAAATGTCTCCATAACATTAGGTTTTGGCAACACAAAAGTTTAAAGTAATATTTATTTATATTTTAGTAATAAAAGGTAACTCCTAAGTACCATACTGTATGTAGATCTTAATTAGATTTTATTAAATATTGCTAATCCTCATTGGAGAATGTGACATCACTTTTTCCATCCAAGCCCTGCCCACCTTACACCATCAAGAAGTGCACAGCAAATACACAAAATATCTCAAGTTAAATCAATGACAAATGTTATCACTTTTGCTGAATTTTTGACATTCTATATTAAGAAACTAATTCAAAAAGTACGTCTCTAGGCTTTTATCTCTTCCATATCTAAATCCCACTTCTTTCCTCTCCCCCAGCGTCAGCGATGCCTCCTTCCCCCTCAGAGAAGACGCTTCTCTCCGGCTCTGATTTCTCCTCCAAAGCCGTGCTGTGTCTGATTGAGGCGGTGGGCCGGCGCTGGGGCCTCTACGAGACCCGGGAGCGCTCACAGCTCTTCCAGAGTGTCCAGGAGGAAATGGCCTCCAAGGGCCACCTGCTTCCTGTCGAAAAGATCCGCCGCAAGTGGAACAACCTCATCGTCACGTACAAGAGGGTCAAAGACCGCAGCCAGGAGACGGGACACGCCAAAACGTCCTGGGAGTTCTTCGATGTAAGTCTTCAAGAAGCCCTGCTTTGCTTTTTGGGGTTTTTCTCGAACACTGTTTCGATTTCTAGGAATAACTTTGTTTAGGTCGGCAGCTTGCTCTAGAAATGCAACTGGATCATGTCTGATCTATACCATGAACCATGTTTATCGATAGTGAGTGCTATGCAAGCAGGTGTTTTGTTCATGGGTTGACTAGATCACAGGTGAGGCTTTCAAGATCTTCCGAACTGTCCGACGCGCGGTCTTAAAAAACTCCAATTCAATTCTAACCACAACAGCCTCTGGACCGTTGTCGGTTATTGTGATAAGGAATTACCGTACCTGGGTCGGCAGGGTCCCGGGACCCACCGTTGCGTGGGTAATAAAATGGAGACTTAGTTTTACGGGGGAGTATGTCTAATTCCAGGCGGCGACCCAAGCCAAATTACTTTATGTCATCAGGACCATTTCGGAGTTCACTTAGTCGAATTACTCTCAATTTGTACCACACATATATAAAGCCCATATTTCCTCTGTACTGTCCTAGTAGGTCAACGAAGCTGTTCCCTGCCTCTAGACTTCATATATTATCAATCTAATTATATTGAGGAGTATNCGGGGGGGTAGATTAATGTAATAAGTGAGATGGCCAGACCTTTTGAGTCGGCTCCATATCTCTGCTTGTGTAATGCAACTAGTATATTCTCCAACCTTATGTTGATAAGGTTGGAGAATATACTAGTTGCATTACACAAGCAGAGATATGGAGCCGACTCAAAAGGTCTGGCCATCTCACTTATTACATTAATCTACCCCCCCGGATTGTTATATACAAAGAGGCAACGCTGACTCAAGTGACATCACTTAAAGTGGACCTATCATGCTATATTTGAAAAATATATTGTAGGGCCATACCTATATAAAACATGTCTGTGAAGTTTTGTTTTCAAAATACCAAACAGATCACCCATTTTATACTGCTCAAACCCCTCTTTTGCAGCCCTGTTAGAGAAACGCGGATTGTGGGTCCTTAAAAATAAATAAAAATAAATAAGAGGAGGCGGAGCTAATGCCTGATAAGAATTCTACCGGAGATTATTTCTGAAATAGTATGGAGCTCAAATGCTTTTTCTCTTGCAGGTTTATCACAAGGTGAGATTTTTTTTTATTTCCTGCTTTTTAAAACATGTGCTCTACAGTACAGGTTAGCTCTGAGTGTTAGTGAGGCTTGCTAATGTGAACAAAGACGAGATTACGTCCAAAACACGTCAGGCATTGTTTCTGATAGCAACTTTCTGTGGGTCCGCCGACGTCACAGCGGATGGAAATCTGTATCCGTTCGTTGTACACCCGTTTTTTAAATATTTGGGTACAGAGGAAAAGAGAGAGGGTTTTATTTTCTNTGGAAGAGGACCATTAAATGTTTGGACACCACTCTGGGAAAACTTATACAGGTTTGTTAAACTTGAATTTGACAGCTTGAATGTTTTTACCATTGGAAATGTTGCTACACCTTGTAAGATTTTGGAAACTTCACTGCAGGCGGATCATCTGAAAGCAGGAAACTACAGAGGAGGATTGAAATGGGTAATAACAAAAACTGATGTAAATACATCATACATGTGACATGTCTCCATGCTTAAATGTTCAAAAGCTCTTTATTTTTCTCATACTGCCTGTGCTGCAGCACCTCTTTTCACCCTCTGTCTGAAACCAGAGCCCAGTCTGCTCTGATTGGTTAGCTTTCTAGCTCTGTTGTGAAAACAGTGATGTTTAATAATTTTCAGAGCAAATCTTCAGTTACAAAAATGTACCTGTAGCCAGGGAGGTAATGAGCTTTTGAGAGACCGAAGGACTTGTCAAGCCTGAACGTTGTTAACTATGTAAAACATAGACACTGTTTATTTTCAGGCAAAGATCTTGAGGATCCACAAAGTGCGGTGTGATTGTAAACTGTGCAAACCAGGAAGTAAGGATCTGGTAAGTTTGTTAATCAGTCATTTTCATAAACAAGGAACCTTCTGTAATGTAATTCTACTGAGATGTTTACATTTCTGTCTTGGCAGGATGATGAGAAAAACGATGACGAGTGTTTCATATGTAAAACTGAAGAAGAAGAAGACGAGTTTGTGATGTGTGATACCTGCCCCCGCTCCTTCCATAAGAAATGCCACCTTCCTCATGTAGAGGACAACATCATAGGGTGAGCTTTGAATCAAAACAAAAGAACAAAAAAATGTGTTCCCCTTGAATCTGGATTAATACTTGATTCTGGTTGGCTGCAGGTTGTTCATTATTTTCTTATAAAGGACACCTACCAAGTAGTTCAAGAGACATTGTTTTTCCACCAGTCTAAACTCATGGATGTATCTAAATGATAGCAATGTGACTTGCTTTGGCCTCGAAAACTGACATCCATAAAAAAATGTAGATTAAACTTCAACTGGAGAACACTACTTAATTCAATACATTGTATTGTAATGCAAGTCACCTAATCTACTTTATTTCGGTAAAAGCATCGCTGCCTTGGCAGAGACCCTGCTTTATTACATGTTAAACTAACTGTTCAACTTTATAAATCAGCTTCTAAATGCTCTACGCAAGTGTTATGTCACGTGGTTTCACTTATTTAAAGAGGGATCGATGTTATATACTGTTGAAGATTGCCTTTCCCCGCTCAGAGACCCAGGTCGTCGCACGCATCTCTGCTTGTCTAGCGGACATCTCTCAGTGGATGTCTGCTCACCACCTCAAGCTCAACCTTGACAAGACTGAACTGCTTTTCCTTCCGGGAAAAGATTGTCCCACTCTTGACCTAACANAGCACCTCTTTTCACCCTCTGTCTGAAACCAGAGCCCAGTCTGCTCTGATGAAAATTATTAAACATCACTGTTTTCACAACAGAGCCAGACAGCTAACCAATCAGAGCAGACTGGGCTCTGGTTTCAGACAGAGGGTGAAAAGAGGTGCTGCAGCACAGGCAGAAGGGGACAAATAAAGATATTTTTGAACCTTACACAGTAGAGGAACAAAATACAAATATGAACCTAAAAAAGAGCATAATGAGGCACCTTTAAAGATTCCTATCAAAATGCATCTCACAAGAATGCACAGTTACATGTTTACCTTTATGTGATCACCGAGTGCTTTCCCTTCACACTCGATGTCTTTCTTCCAGGACAAATATGTTGGACCTGCCTCCAGCATGAACTGCATTGGGGTAATCCATCTGGCCTCAGTACGAATACTCTTCCCTAAGATCTCTGGCAAGGAGACACATTACACTAGATTCAGCTGGTCAGTAAAAACTTTATTATTTCAATACACATATTAAGCTTTTGTGTTCAGTCAGATATATCTACCTGTTGCAAATCGTTTTTTGTGTAAGTCCCCCGCTAAAGGTCCACATGTGACTTTGAACACCTTCCTGCCACTGTCATGGCTGGCGACTGTCTGTTCCTCTCTCTCTCCTTCTTCATCTGTAATGGACAACATGATTATCCTAATGCTATGATACTGGGATTGGGTCAAGCAGCAGTCTATGCAAGAGTGCCAAGAACTGCATTTCTTCAAATGGCCACTTGAGGCTCTAAAAGGGAGGTTTAAAGAGCTAACGTTTCAGCAAATATTCTTCTACAAAAAAAATGTCAGTCTAGTGTTATCCTATTTATATGTTGGCACTTATTAGCAGGTTATCAATGTCTGCACTTACGTTACCTGGCCTGTTGGCTTAGCTCGTTGATGTACAAGTCACTTTAAAGAGTTAGCTGTTCATTTTAGTAGTGACCAAACAAGCATTTTTTTGCTAGCCGAAATTAGCATCCCAATTGATATCAAAGGTAAAGTGAATTATGGATGCCAACCAAGCTAGCTAGCTTCAAGTATCTGGTAACTTAGCCTTTGGTACAAAAAAAACAAGTTCTATGATTTCTTCTAACATTAGCATCAGTGACCCTATATATAACTCTGAGGAAAGCAGGACCTGTTCCAGAAATATTTGTGCTGCTTGATGAATCCTGGTCCTCGTCCTCGTCCTCGTCTTCGTCCTCGTCCTCGTCCTCATCTTCTTCTTCCTCGGACACTAAAAAATGAAAATGGTAAATAGGTTTTCCATTGCTTCTTCGTATTAATAATTTATCCTACAGTTAAAACAGTCACTTCTTCAATATGCCAATTTGAAACTCAACATTTTACACATGCAGACTTAGATGAAAACCATTTAGATTAGACCGGTACATCTTGTAATAGCTTGCAGGGATTCAGAGTTTTCTCATAGACTATCAAAAATGTATACACCTTTAGCAACAAACCTATGGTTACATCGTCAGTTGGGAACAGGGTTTTCTTGGTCTAACAGTAAGAAAAAAGGGATATTATTAGGGTCAGATCATTAAAAACTAAGTAGTCAGAATATATGTATGTATTTACACAAGTTTTTGTTATTACCTTTTTCCATCCTGCTCTGTAGTTTCCTGCCTTCAGATGATCCGCCTGCAGTGAAGTTCCCAAAATCTTACAAGGTGTAGCAACATTTCCAATAGTAAAACATTCAAGCTGTCAAATCCAAGTTTAACAAACCTGTATAAGTTTTCCCAGAGTGGTGTCCAAACATTTAATGGTCATCTTCCAGTTCTTGGAGCTGTCCTTGCCNGGACCTCTACAAGTCCCAGCTGCCGGTGACCTGTGGAGAGAAGGAGGGGATACTCAGCAGAAAAAGACTGGCTGATGGTGAGCAGAATATAAATAACTGAATTATGGGATCATGAAAAAAAAATTATCATCATTGTCTACTCCAATATGGAAATCAAGTAAATTAGGACCAGATTTAGAGATTATTAATCACAATGTAATTTCTGATATATAGTGAAACTTCTCCAATCTTATTCTGACCAGAGAAAGATAGTGACATACTGTGTATATTGTTCATCAAATTTGTATCAGACTTTATAAAGCATGTAATATGTGTGATAACGTATTCTCAAAAGAAAAGGGGAGATTTATTCCAGATTTCGCTATGAGCAAATGTTCTCCTGCAGTGCAAACTGATATGATTTTCAAGACACTGTACTATTTGTGTGAGACCATTAACAATGTCCAATTGTAACCATTGCTACTACATTTTTGTTTGTTGGACTTTTTTTGTGTTCTTCCGTAACATAGTGACAGCACTCTGTATCATTCATGCTCCAATTGTTTGCGCTCCATTACATTGTAAGTGATAGCCTAAGGGGCGGGCCATCTCTAAGCATTTGACCAATCACAACGGAGCCGGCCAGCTNATCTCTAAGCATTTGACCAATCACAACAGAGCCGGCCAGCTAACCAATCATGTGCCTACCTCTTTTCACCCTCGGTCTGAAATCAGAGCCCAGTCTGCTCTGATTGGTTAGCTGGCCGGCTCTGTTGTGATTGGTCAAATGCTTAGAGATGGCCCGCCCCTTAGGCTATCACTTGTAATGGAGCGCAAACACTTGGAGCATGAATGATACAGAGTCTGTCACTATGTTAGTGTCTTGAAAATCATATCAGTTTGCACTACAGGAGAACATTTGCTCATAGCGAAATCTGGAATAAATTTCCCCTTTTCTTTTGAGAATAAGTTATCACACATATTACTTGCTTAATAAAGTCTGACACAAATGTGATGAACAATATATGTCACTATCTTTCTCCGGTCAGAATAAGATTGGAGAAGTTTCACTATATATCAGAAATTACATTGTGATTAATGATCTCTAAATCTGGTCCTAATTTACTTGATTTCCATATTGGAGTAGACAATGATGATAAAAAAAAAAATGTCAATGATTTTTTTTTTCATGATCCCATACTTCAGTTATTTATATTCTGCTCACCATCAGCCAGTCCTTTTCTGCTGAGTATCCCCTCCTTCTCTCCACAGGTCACCGGCAGCTGGGACTTGTAGAGGTCCCAGGTCCAAATGTCGTTCTTCTCTCCCTTCTTCAGGGGAGAGGCTGGAAAATAAAAACAAAGAAAGAAAGAATTTACTTTACAAGTTACTTTTCAGCAGGGGAACTTTGAGTAATATACAGTCATGTTTACAAATGGAAGCAGAAGTGGGAGGTGACTTACAGAAGTGTATTTTCTCAGGCCTTTTCCTCGGAGTCACCCGAGACGACGGACCTGGCTGCTCCTCCTCTTCGTCGCACACGTCCCTATTTTTCAGTTTTCTCTTCTTTTTAACAGAGCTCTCTTGCTTTTCCGCTTCCTCCTCATCTTCTGAAACATCCTTCCTTTTCCCTTCATCTGCCTCCTCTGTTTCCGCCCTCTCAGACTGCTTTATGTCGGATTGGAAAGTTCCTGCAATTCCAATTAACCGCCATTGATATAGTTAATAACGGAAAGATTCCTTCCTAACTTCATTGTCATAGTGTGGCCTCAGCAGATTTCGCCAATAATGATGTCAACTTATAACTACATATTCATTTGTTTAGCTAACTATTTGAACAATGGTGTATTTATTGTTCTAGCTATCAATTTCAACAATGGTTTAATCCATGGTCATTACTTTGACCATGATTTATGCAGAACTCTTTTACGTTTTACTATCAATGGCCAACTATTTCAACTTGTTTTTTCATTACTTTATAAGAAAATTGAGTGTATCCATATTTTTCAAGTTAGTCAATTTACTTTCAGCTTACCGGTTGAACAGGTATGCTAGTTCGCTAGCCCTATCAATCCTAAAATATAGTAAACAGTGTTATTAGGCGTTAGTGTTGAGCCACAAAGTGAGATCAGTGATTCCGATTTAAATTTCCAAAGAGAACAGGAACATGGTGAACAGAATCTTAATCATTAACACACTAATGACCAAAATAAAGACTTCGTCTGACCGTTCATGAGGTCGTTTCTCAGCTCTCGCAGGGTGGGGTACTCGTTCAAGATGGAGTCCTTGAAGACACAGGTCCAGAACACTCTGATGTGCTGTGGTTGCTTCCTCTCCAACCGGTCCAGAATCTCATAGAGACCTTTCCTTATTTTTTTAATACTCTGCATGCGATTCACTTTCTACAGACACACAAACAAAAGGAGAAAATAAGCGGTTCAATAACTGCACAATAGCCTCAGAGCGCAGAATCAGATTGAGCCAAAACATCTGATCACAATGTTAGCTTTGACACTTCCATTAAAGCAGGGGTTTGGGTTATTTCAAAATATGTATACCTATGTATGCTAACATTCATTTAATCTATCCAATGGTTGACAGATAAAGTTGAAATGCTTCCATTCAATTTGGGTAAAATAGATTTTAAAATACTTTAACCTGATTGACAGATCATTCATACTGCTGATCACTGTCATGGTTTAATTGATATAAAATGTCTGTTCACCAAACGTCTCAAAATGCACATAATAGGGGACAACAAATAGTTTTGGGGTAGAGGGGGGCATGACAACTCCCATTAGAAACTCAATTTAATTTAAGGAAGTAGAAAATAACCAAACCATATTCAAAATCCATTTGCAAAGTCGGCAGCCCAAATATAGGCCTACATTATTTTTGAATAAAGTAATTGTTATAAATATTGTTCGTTTATGTTGTTTGTAAAGTTTAGACTTTGAGTGTGGGCGCAATCTGAGTCAAAAAGTAGTGGAATTAGATATTGAAACCAGCTACAAGTGGCAGTTTTGGCGCTTTTTTTCACATGCCTCATGTTTCAAAATGATTGTGCAGAAATTAGTAGCAGCCATTTCATTCAAACAGGAAGTGTGTATGAAGAAGGTAATAACAACAGCGTTTCCACTCCAGCCCCTCACCTGGTATGTGTCATCATCCAGCAGCAAGTCGTGGTCCCGCAGCTGTCGCAGAAAGGTTTGCGGGTTCTCCATGATGGACATTGCCGTTTTACTTCGCCGGAAAAACTGCAGGAGCTCATTATCCCCCAGCCACTCCATCGGTTCCATAAGATACAGTCACAGCCACAAAACACCCAGAGACACCGCGTATGCTCCACATCCAAACTATGGCACTAAAGTAAACAAAGTGCTTTAGAAAGTCACCCTCCGTTGTTTACCATGCATTAGGCCTCATTCTCTGCGCGTAAACTGTCCCGATTAATATGATTTGGACACTGACATTCAAATGCGCATAAAAAACTTCACCGTGGACTACTGTGTTGGAGGTTTGAAATCAAAACAAGTAGAGATTTAGAAGCATTAATTCGTGGAGTTTCTTAACTGTATCTCCCCACAAATGTGTCCTCAGTTCCTCCTTCAGGGAATAGTATATTCCTGCAATACCTCCCTTCTCTTTGGGGTGACGTTTGGAAAGTGAAACTAGTTTTTTATTTTTGACAGATAAATGCACTACTGGTCTCTGTCTGCAGAGGGCACCATCCACTTAAAAGAGACTTCCTGAATTCTTATTTATTTAAATGAAAGAATACATGTTATTTTAGTTGTCAGTTAGTGAGAAAAATAACAGTTTTATTTTTAATTATGCTACTATTCAAACTTAATTTGATTATCAAGGGAATTGTATATGTCATAAGACTTTTAATCTCATGAGCTTCAAGAAATTGTCTTACTGTACTGTATTTCTATAATACACTGGTTAGTTGTTCTCTATTTATTCAACATATCTATATAAAATCACAATATACACCATTTATTTTACTGCATATTATCTCTGTTCTACTTTATATGTATATATTTTTATTATTCCTTAAAGGAACTTGCACCATTTTGTCTATTGCACAATGTTATACCATTTGCTTTTATGTAAAGTATATTGTTCGTTGCATTGTTGGAGAAAATATTAAATGTATTATGTTGCTTTTTTCTTATCTCGATTTAAGTTATACTGAAGAACTTTAAAATAAAAGTCTTACATTCACGAGTGGTCAGTACTCTAGTGAGGTTTTCACTGTTTTTATGTTTTGTTTGTCGGACTTTTCAGCTTTATTGTCCAGTTTTGTTATAAAAGTAATCAAATATAATAACATTTGTTTGAAGTATTTAGACAAGTGTCATTGCCTTTTACATTTGTCCATAGTGTAACTTGAACACTCTAACTTTTTACAGTTTGAAACTAACCTTCCCAACAGTGGGTAATTGTAAAATAACTAGTGAACATTTGANACAATCCCAGTCAAATTTACAATATATTATCGTATTATTTAGATTTGTATATTTACAGTAAATTACTGGCTACTGTGTTGCATTACTTCTACAGTAATAGTGTGAACATACAGGTAATTACTGTAATTTATGTGCAGCAAGGTGCCATAATACCACATCTCTGTACTGCTATATCACAGTAATTCCATGGGCATGGTAACTGTAAAGTCACAGTATTTAGTTGTACTTTTATCCTAATTTACTTTAAAATATATACAGTAAATTACTGTGAAATATTTACAGTAAATTACTGTGAAATCCATGCAACTAGTAGCCAGTAATTTACTGTAATTTTACAGCCAAACATTTTACAGTGTACTTCCGGGTGTACAATTCTCCGTTATCCAATGGGAATGGACGCTCACATTGCCTTTAAGGGCAGCCGACACAAACGAATGCGGTGCTTCCATGAGCGTCAAATCCCGCCGCAGATGGGAATACATTGCAATCAGTTGAAAGCCATTTGCGTCCCTTTATGAAGCTGAAGGAGCCTAGGAGCGTCACAACTGCACGCCACGGGACCCTGACCAAACGTCGCTCCTGGACGATTATGGAGTGAGAGTGTGTTGCGTAAAACATATTTTTATGCCCCACTATGCGCCGCATAGGTGCGCCGCATTAGCGGCTCTGTTGAGGCTCCCTTCGCAAGATGAGGCCCCACGCAGTCTGCGTGATCAGCCTGTAGGGAGGGACAGCCCCCCCACATCATGTAGAGTCAGACAGTCACCTTGTGTGAGGCAGACCCACATTTGCGCAGCGTTGCGTTCACAATACATACAAAAAAAAGAAAATTGCCAGGCCATCGGGAAACCTCCCGGTCCTCCTGATGGCCTGTCTTTGGGTGACGTTTGGAAAGTGAAACTAGTTTTTATTTTTTACAGATAAATGCACTACTGGTCCCTGTCTGCAGAGGGCATCATCCAGAGATTTCCTGAATTCTTATTTATTTAAATGAAAGAATACATGTTATTTTAGTTGTCAGTTAGTGAGAAAAATAAAAGTTTTATTTTAAATTATGCTACGCTTGATAATCAAACTTAATTTGATTATCAAGGGAATTGTAGACTTTTAATCTCGTGAGCTCTGTAAATTGTCTTACTGTATTTCTATAATAAACTGGTTAGTTGTTCTCTATTTATTCAACATATCTATATAAAATTACAATATACACCATTTACTTTACTGCATATTATCTCTGTTCTATTTTATATGTATATATTTTTCTTATTCCTTAAACAAACTTGCACCATTTTGTCTATTGCTCAATGTTATGTCATTTTCTTTTATGTAAAGTATATTGTTTGTTGCATTGTTGGAGAAGCCTGAGATTTTCATTGCCAATACCACAGTGTGTAGCTACTGTGCATACAACAAATACAGCTTTTGAATCCTTTGACTATATTATTTTAGGAGGAAATGCTTATAAATATGTAAAATATTAAATGTATTATGTTGCTCTTGTCTTATCTCGATTTAAGTTACCCTGAAGAACTTTAAAATAAAATTCTTACATTTACCAGTGGTCAGTACTCTAGTGAGGTTTTCACTGTTTTGTTTGTCGGACTTTTCAGCTTTATTGTCCAGTTTTGTTATAAAAGTAATCAAATATAATAACATTTGTTGGAAGTATTTTGAAAAGTGTCATTGCCTTTTACATTTGTCCATAGTGTAACTTGAACACTTTAACTTTTTACAGTTTGAAACTAACCTTCCCAACAGTGGGTAATTGTAAAATAACTAGTGAACATTTGACTTTCCTCTCACCAGCTTTGACTCTAAAACCATGACTGTGACGTGGCATTTCCACAGAGATCTAACAAATATATTCCAATTACTTGAATATAGACTCTCTACTTCTTCCATTCTATTTTATTTGTATACTTGCACTATTTGAATTGTCTGTTTTATTATGTTGCGCCGTTGGAGGAGCCTGTGACCTAAGATTTTCATTGCCATATCTACACTGTAACTATGTACAAATGACAATAAAAGCCTTGAATCTTGAATATATCATTTATTGTTTTGTTCCTCGTGCATGCTGTTGATGGTATCGTATCCTTCCAAGTCGTTGTAGATGACGTCTGTGTGGTGTTCTTGGCAGGTCTGCACCGCCTGCAGGACGGATGCGAGGCGCCGGTCCAGAGCAGAGAGGTTTCCTTCAGAGAGGAGCGGGGCCAGAGGGGCCAGAGGGTCCTGAGCCAGAGACTCCCTCATGACGTCACTGAGACGGAAACCAGGGAGGGACAGGAGACGCAGGCGGAGGAGGGTGGAGCGACGGATGCTATAAATATGGGTGGAGAGCTCAAGACCATGAGAAATATTGACACATAAGCCAGAATCTTCAGAGATAACTCAAGTTTCCTCACCCTCTTTCTGGTCTGTTAATTGCAGGTGTCATTATGTGCTACTCTAACTGACCTTGAAGCAGGCCGCTGTGTCTGTAAATGCTTTGGTAAACTTGGTGTAAGACTGTGTTGTGATTGTGTGTTTTAAAATTGTCTGTAACTGTGCTGTTTCCATTCTTGGGCCAGGACTCTGTTGAAAAATAGATTTGTAATCTCAATGAGGCCTATCCTGGTTAAATAAAGAATAAATAAATAAATACAAAATGTGCTGAATTCTTTTAATTCATCCCTTTATTTTTTGTAGTTTTGTTGCCACTAGTTGCTCATTAAAAAAATGAATATGAATAATGTAAAAAATTAACTATAGTGGCATCTTGTAGCAAATCACGTTAAAAATCACTTTTTTCCAACGCGTCTTGACGTAACATGGAAATTCTTGCTCAGCTTGTTATGGTAATTTGATAGCTAGACGTTCAGGAGGATTTTACCAAGAGCTGAATTATCCACAGAGGTCTAATTTCTCTTTAAATCAACAAGGTGAGAAGACCCAAAATATGTTAAAATACGCTCAGCTTGTTGTCTGATAACTGAAGATCCAGATGTCTGATGACTAAAAACATTCAGCCAGTTACAATATATTGTCAACAACAACCAACATCTTAAAGGTGCATTGTTAAAATGGGGCTCAAATTAGATAAAAAGTCCATTTATGACTAACCCAATGTTGATGCATGTGCAAGAGCATTCTTTACAGGAGACAAAATGAAATGGAATGTTACCTTGATTTAAAAAAAAGGATTTCTCCAAGTCTGATAAATGTTGGAATTATTTGGGATGATATCAAAACACAATTTAACAAAAATATATAGCATAGGTCTGGTTGTCTTTGGACATTCAAGGCAGAAATGTTGGATATTGGATAGTTACTCAGTGAACAGACAGTGTATTCTTTTACCTGCAGCATTGTTTCAAAGGAACTAGAATAGTCGGTTCGTCCTGAGAGTGACGGCCGAACCTGGAAAACATCATCAAGAGCATCAAACATATATAATGTTTCTTTATATGTTGTTCTCAGACTTCTACTACATATTAGTAGAACTGTTGCCTTTTCTATACGAGTAACATGATCAACTCCCAGTGAGCAGCTCATTGTACTCACGCCCGTCCGTTATCCAGATGCAGCAGAAAAGT